TTTTATGTCTTGGACTGCAACACTCATGACTGTCTACCACTTGTGCAGAAATCCCAGAGGATGAGGCTCGATACTGGACCGGCAAATTGGAACGCATCAACACTATGGGCATTCATGATGAGGTAAGAACTGTGCATGTGCAGCTAAACAACTGCATGCCTTCAATATTTCAGTACATGGGGACTTACCATACCAAACAAGAGTCCACACTGACTGTCATTGCATATAATTATATGAGAAGAGGTTGCATGACAATTTTCTGAATGCATTTACATTGCGTTTGGCTACAGTTGCCGTTGTAATTTGCATCTAAAAAGGAAGTGTGGGCAGTGTTTACCAGAATCACAATATTGCTTTATTTAGCATTGCTCAGCATTATATACTTTACTGTGGAGTAATATGAGCATACCTATAAACACTAGAATAATTTTGAGAGAATAATTTTTTTTATGTCTATTATGTTTCTTTTGTCTAAAAAGTTGATGTCTATGATTTTAAACGAATATCTGTTTTATACAAGATCATAGCTGTGAGAGTTTGTGTAATTGTAACACTAATTATCATTCTGCTTTTTGTAAAAAAAAAAAAAATATATATATATATATATATAAATAAAAATATTGCTAGTTAATATTATAATATTTTATTTAAATAATATATTTAAGATATTTTAGTAAAAAATATTTATTTCAGGTCACTTTAATGTATATACTGCATTGATTTTCTGCTTTAAACGCATATTATTCCTGACAGCTAAAAGAATTAGTACCATATACTGTAGGTGTCAATTATTCAGTAATATTAATTTTAAGTTTGTAATATAACAGTATTATTTTAATCTAATTTGAAATGGGTTAATATCATTTACATCTCAACCACCATTATAATCATCCCCTTTGTAAGACACAATAAATTCATAATTATCCAGTTTTTCCTCATCAAGGCTATTTGGTTACTTTCGACACTTATAAATTCTTATATTAAATATGTATATGGTAGGTAGATTTGTTGTAGACGGAGTTATAAATGTAGGTCAATCATATTTTGTATGTTTTTTTTTTCTCCCCTGTTTCCCTCTTGGTTATTTAATAGTTATTATCACAGCTTTGGTATGTGATCAGCATGTGTGTGTTCTGAGCAGTTATATTTGCTGTGCATTGTTGTGACTGTTTAATGAAATACACATATTGGTAGTTGTCTAGGACCTAGTATTTTAATCATCATTCAGATTTTTGGTATTTAAAGAGTGTATAAGACATGTGTCTAAACTTTGGCTAGAACTTCACTAATTCACTTTAAATGGTCCTGTGATGTGACAAATGGGAAACATTTTACAAGTACAATTATTCCATGTAGTCCCTATATATATATATATATTATATATATATATATATATATATGGTCGTAAACTCCATGAATATTATTTCTTAAAAGAATTAGCAATATGCCGTTCAAATATTGCTATACTCCTGCTGTTGTAGTGTAACATGTCATACCACAGGATCTCAACCTTCGAATATTTCATATCAGCTATCATGTTCAGCAGATACCCCAGTTTATCCATGTCCAATAATTTCACAAAATCAAGCCAAATAAAGGTAGTCCTTAAATTAACCAGTCTCATGATATATATAATATTGTATCTGAACTGTTTGAAGTGAGTTTTGCTGTGGATTTGCATGCCATTTAATAGTTAATTTATTTATTGGAATCTGCATGTTCAGTAAGTGAGGTTGTTAATTGCCTTAACAGTAATTCATTATTAACCATACTTTTTTTTGTTGACTCTTAACCCTCCTCTTTTTCTCTCCTTCTGTTACTTTCCCTTACAGGATGAAGTAGCGGGACGCCCTCTGCCCTGTGCTGCCTCTCAATGCTGTGAGTGTCAACATCTCACACTAGATGGAGCCTCGGCATCATGCCTGATGCTTCACTGTGCTCTCCACTCCTTTAACTCTACATGCTGCTTCTTGTCACCTTTGAGTAGCATAAATGTTAACATACAATCTGTTCACAGCGTATATGCTCACAAATGTTTACTCAAGCATCTCACACTTGTATCAAGCACAAGAAAATTCATGTTGGAATTGAAATATAAGTCTTTGTAAATGATTTTGTTTTTGCACATCATCTTTCACTCTTGATTTTTAACCTCACCAGGCAACTATTTTGGATGGGCCAACAGCCAGAGTATGTAATCTGTATTCAGATTTTATATAGTAACACTTTACTCTAGATTATTCCCTGGAACCCCCCCCCCCTGGACCCTCAAAATGACTATACTTTCATATGCGCCCCGAAGTGTTGAGATAATGTGTATATGTATATATGGCAAATGTAAATTTTGGCAGCTAGATACACTACTTACTGTAGAAAGTGTAAAAAAATGGCTAAAGTATTTGAAATTGTATTGGGTAATGCTTAATGAAAAGTATCTTCCAAGTAAATTACAGAAGATATAGGTTTTTTTATACTTAATATGTGCCATTTTCAAATTTCAGTCAAACCCACATTTGTACACGTTCTAGAATTGTTATTTGACTGCAGCTTATATTTGCATCCTGTAAAAACTTAGTTATGCATTGCACACATTGTTTTCTAGGAAACAATAATTTACATGAATATTTGGATGTTTTGTTTAGATTTGGATGCATGAACTTTTCCCCAAATTTCCTTGAGTTTTAACCTTGTTGAAATAATGATGTGTTCTTTGTGTACATTGTGAGCTCCTCACCTCAGTTCTCCTGCACTTACATCCGTGTACTTGTTTATATTATTGGATTATTTGATAATTTACATTAGCATATTACATATATAAAAGCCAAGACAGATTGGCGTTTTATGCATTTCTCACCTGTAATGTTTCCTTGTCTAGCTTTGGATGACCTAGACAGTGCGGTGGATGATAGAGACAGTGACTACAGGAGTGAGACGAGCAGTAGTTTACCTCCACGCTACCACACTACAGCCCAGCCCAACTCTTCACTTCACCAGTATCCCATGGGGCCACGCTTTCAGCAGGCCATGGATTCCTGTGCTGACTCTTTGCACAGCTTTGAATTTTTCTATAGGGATCACCATGCAAGCAGGTACATTCAGTTCCTATGAGTACTATATGCGTCCATACAGTACTATAAGTGTTTGTCTACAACTACACCAGTTTTACAACATTTAGCAATGAATGTAATGGTTTTTGAATGGTAATTTCGATAACTCAACTATGAAATAGCAATGTATATGTATGGTTGCAGATCATCCTTGTTTGTTATGCTGAACTTTAAACTTGCAATTTGAGAACGGATTTCTAGTCTTTTAGACTAGAAGAGAAAGAGAAAAGAAACTGAAATGTGGTATTCTGAGATTGTGGTTAATCAGAGTCTCTTGTGTGGTCCAGTACAGAGCTAATCCGGATATTTATTTTGCATCAGATCCCTTTTAAAAATACAGGGATTGTATTACTTGTGATCATTAAGTTACGGGTGAAATGACATTTGTGTGTAATTTATGTATTTTCTCACCAGCTGTATGCATAATTATATATTTATTTTTTTATTATTTAAAAAAGAAATACAATCTATTTATTAGTGAGGTGAAAGGCACCTCAATGCACAATGGTGTGGTAAGGACTGTAATTTTCACTTCAAATTTCTGGTAATTCACTTAAATTTTTTTTGTTTCATCTCATAACTTTAGTGCATCACTATTATCATGTTCTTGCTGTCAGCAGCTATTATCTCTTATGTTAAAATAAATTTTTTCTCTTTCTTTCCCCCTCCTTTTTATCCTCTTCCATCCTTTTTAATCTCTGGTAGAATTCCTAATCATAGGGGTAGAGTTAGGATTGTTCCAGTAGATTTAGGCATGGGTGTGGAAGATTGGGAGGTTAAATACAAACTACAGGGTAAAAGTACTCTGGGTGAGGTCCTTAATAGAGAAGAACAGGCATGGATTGAGGAACATGACCGAAAAAATGATCTTCTTCGTAATGAAAAGGCTTGCCACGACCCCATAGTCAACCATTTGTCTCCAATCAAAAACAAAAATTCTTCATTAAATGCTGCTTACCCAGAAAGCTATGCCACTATTGACCGAAGGCGAAGGAAAAAAATCCGAGACCCAGGAGGGTTGGAGCATGCCGGAGCAGAACATTACCCAGGGCTAGAACGTAAAGAGGCAGTTTTTGCTTCGCTCCTTGTGTTATGTCACGTGAAAGAAATGGAAGAGGCTGATGAAAACATGATGCCATGCCTGAAACCATACAAAAATGGCTTACTCTACAAAACTAGAATGTGGGCAAAAAATAAGGTAGAAAACACACTGGAGAATTATGTTGCATATCAAGAGGAAGAAGCAACTAGAAAGAGGAAAGATGTAGGCTTTGATTCTGACGGCTCAGATGAGCTACAATATTCCATTGGCTCTGAGGAGGAGTTGGAGGAAATTACTTCTTTAGGTAAGGCACTCAGGGCTGAGGAGAGGAAGAATTATAGCAACTATGGATATTTCTCAACATATGGTAGCCAAACTGAGAGGCTCCAAGGTTACCGTGATAAGAAGAGTGGAAAGGGTAAAATTGGTGGATGGGCTCCAGAGGCCATGCTGTCTCCTGTTGAGGAACCTAGTGATGAATATGTTGATCCTATAGATGAGCTGCAGTGCCTGGTTGAAACTGTATCAGAATATCTCGCTGAAAAAGAAGAGGAGATCAGTAAATATGGATCTTTACCTAAGTCTAACAAATCAAGGCTGTCATCTCAGGGTAGTGCAAAAGCAGAATCTGTTGGCGATGAGCAAGGTATCACTTCTAAGGAAGTAAAAGATAAACCCATAGATGCCAAAGAAAGAAATTCAAGTGGTGCTTCTGACCATGGAGTGGCAGGGATGAAGAATGCCATGAGTTCATTATTTAGCTCTTTAACAGATAAAGTTGTATCAAGCTCAAAACAAGTGAGCTCCAAGTCTGATGAACAATCAGAGACACCAAGTGATGTTCCTGTTGGTTCTGGTATATCAAAATTGTTTTCCTTCATGCCAATGTCTGTAAGTCCCACACCAGTAGCTGTGGTATCCCCTACCCAGGACCCTCAGTGTGATAGGAAGTTTTCAATGCCATCTATTTTGCCTTTCCAGCCATCTGATGCCAAGTTGCAAGGGGTGGACCAGTCAATTCAACCAGTCAGAAATGAGCTCAACAAATACACTGTTGTCACAGTTCACAACGAGACATCCTCCTCTGTGAATTTAATGTTGGGAAAGGGGAACATTTTCACTGGAGAAAGTGTTGTGAATGGAACAGCCAAAAGTTATACTCAAAATAATTTTGATGTGGGGAAAATGCAGCCGGGAGATCAGTCCAGAGTTTTGAATTGCAATGCAAAACTCAGTACAATGCCAGATGTGTATCAAGTCGCTGATGGTGAAAAACTTAAAACTCTTAAAAATACCTCTAATGAGATAAACAGTGATAAGACGCATACTGAGGCTATAACACAAAAAGCTGCTGAAGAGTCAGGATTTTTCAGTCCTTTTAAGAAATCTCTCAGTTCATTAATCTCACCTGGACCTCCAGTGCCTCCTCAGACTCAAACACAGACAGTTTTTCCTGTCTTCAGATCAGCAAAAGGCATTAGGGTAGAACAACTTTCAGACCAATCCTCCCTTATAAAACAACATTTTGTCTCCTCTGACAATGTATCTGTCCCACAACCTCCAAAGGCAGAAGGGGGGCTTTTATCTGGACTGTTTAAGTTTGCATCTGGTGAGAATTCAAGTGCATCCAAAAGTATGCCACAAAATTTAGTTAAGACCGATCAAACTCTTCCTGCCCCAAACAAAATTACAGGTGTATTTCCATCTTCAGTTCTTGGCAAGAATCAAAATGCAAAATCAACAATCATAAAGAATCATAAAGAACCTGAGGTAACTGCTAAGGGGAACACAGAAATAGGCAGGTTTTCTAGTCTCTTTAAGATGGCACCAACTGAAGATCTGCAGCCTGTTACTCCATATACCCAAAGGCCTAATATTCAGAGCTCTCCGCTTCCTTCAAGGTCAAATCAGAATGTACATAGGATGCAACATCAGAATTCATCTACTGCTAAAGAACAAATACAATTTAGGCACCAACATCCTGGTTCAAATGAAGTCCCTCGTGTTACAGAGCAAAAAGCATCTCAACACAAACGTCAAGGCCTGTTCTCTGGTTTGTTTAAATCAGCTGCCTCTGATACATCAGGTGCCCAAGCATCTACTAATCAACCACAACAAGGAAGCTTACTCTCAGGATTCATGAAATTTGCTTCTACAGGTGATATGACCACAGGTACTCCACTCAATCAGTCACAACAAAGGAGTCAGTCTGCTCAAATAATAAATCAACAAATCCAACCTCATACCCAACAAAGTGCATCTAATCCTAATTTCTCAGGGCTGTTAAATGTTTCCTCCACAGAAAATAAGTCGACTCATAAACCCACTCGACAAAAAGAATTTCAGCAACCTCCAACATTTACAAGTGCACCACCTCAACAGGGAAGAATTTTATCTGGCCTTTTCAGATTTGCCTCCACTGACAAGATTTCAGACAATCAGACAAAGATCTCCCAGAAACAACAAAAATCATCAAGTGTGAGTTCCCGTCAAGATACTGTACATCATAATGCTGAGGGACAGAGTTGCAACCTTCTTCAGCAGTCCAGAGTCCAAAATCAGCAATCAGACCAACATCAGAAAGGTATATTAGATGGCCATAGACCAAATATATCCCATCAAGGACCTTCTCAACAAGGTTTTCTGTCTGGCCTTTTCAAGTTTGCCTCCTCTGATGTTTCTGTATCTCAATCAACACAACAAATACAGGCATCTAACAATCAGTCCACTCCGCTCCAGTCAAAAACAAATGTAATGGGTCAAAGCCACCCATCTCAAGATAATTCATTTACACCAAAACCCCAGTCAGGCGGTCTGTTCTCTGCCTTTCTTAAAACATCCTCCACTGAGTCACAGGAACTTAATACACCACCTGCTACACAGGAAAACAAGGAACAGTCAGTTGTGACAAAACAAAATTCTCCTATGGCAATGCAAGATACATCCTCTCAGTCAGGAATTTTGTCTGGTCTTTTCAATAAACTCACATCCTCATTTGAAGATGTATCACCAAACAGCCAAAATTCATTTCAGCAGAAACAGGAGGAACAACACATACCAAGAGAGATTTCCACTCGTCAAGGTCAATTAAATAGACCGCTACCTCAAATGCCTTCTCGGAATCAACATGTACTACAAAACCAAAATCCCTCTACTCAACAAGGTTGTTTATCTGGAATATTAACCAGGAATACAACAGAGATTACCGCTGCCAAACCAGAGAATGTGGTTATGGAAGGATCACATTTGAAGGTCAGTTCTATAGGACTGCTGAGTCACAAGGTATCTGACCGAAATAATGTGCCTAACATCTGTGACACGGAGAGCCTTGATTTGAGGACACCAGCAAGTTATGGAAGGTCACAACAGAATCATGCTTCATACACATCTAATAGCACTGGTAGTTTACCCCTTTTATATAGCTCACAAAACTTTTTGCTCTCAAGCCAAATAAGAAACGCTTCATATAGCACTGAAAATCTTAGTAGCCTCCCTCTTGGTCACCCATCTCAAGCAGTAATGTCACAGGAATATTTAAGGCAGAGTTATCCATCCTTACATATTGTATCTGAACAATATGGCTACCCACAAGTCTCTTCTTCATATGCATTGGGACTTAGTCCCAATGATGAACACTCATGGATCCAAGAATCTATTTTGTGGCAACAGCTGAATGATCAGTCATTGGACTGCTATCCTGACGGACGTTGGAATATAGCTAGCGATCAAATCCACAAATCTTCCCAGTGTCTGGATAATATAAACATGGATGTTACTCAGCCATGGATGACATTGCACACTTACCAAGGAGAGAGCAATAATCAACCAGAGTATTCCAAAGATTTTCACCATAGTTCTATGAGACAGAGATTGTGGAATAGCCATAACAGTTTGGATGTGATTAGTAGCCAAGAGTTTGAAGGTGTATTGAATTTAAGCA